AGTCTTATCTGTCAGATCTTTATATAATATGTAATATTATTTTCAAAATTAGTGATATTAATAAGCATAATTTTCTTATATAATATGAATTAAAGATCAGTTTAATATATCTAATATTTCAATTTAACTATCTGTTATAATACAGCAGCGCATTTTATTCTGATGCTATTATAATTATTAATCTGATTGAGTATGAGCTGAGTAAGTATTTACAGCTCAGTTTTTATTGAGTTTTATATATACTTTTATAATTAGCTTTTTTTATATTATTAGATTTTTAAATTATTATTTATAAGTCGGAGATCTAAGTACTTCTTATCTATAAATATATAAGATATATTAAATAAAATAGTTTTTAATTTATCTTTTCAGTGTCAGTTGTTATAGTCTCTGAATTTAAAGAGCTTGTTATTTAACTTTATTTTAATATAACTGTAATTATTTTTAAAGTTGCAGAATCAGTTATTTTTAATATTTAAAATAGTTATAGAAGTAGTTGAAGTAATTTTCTACATCTGTAATCACAGATCATAGATAATTACTACTGTATTTGTATTTTAAAGTTCTGCTACTATTAAACAGATGACGCTTACTGCTATTTCAGTAACTTCATCAGCTGAGTTATTATATTCAGTGAGTTGTGTATATTTAATAGAGAGAAAGTTATCATTCTCTTTTAATTCAGTGATATAATCAGTTTTCATTTTGATTTGAATTTTCTAAGTAGTTTGAGATGATAATTACAGCTTAAGTGACTTAAATATTACTTATGTATGTGACTGTGTAATATATCTTCTGCTTTGAACAGTCAGTATTGAATTTAATAAGATAATATCATCTTTAACAGTAAAACTACTCACTGAGATATAATAACTATTTATATTCGCATTCATGAGAATGCAGATTTGATGTCGAATGAAAAATTAACAGAAATAATTAAGCAAAGTATACTTACAGCAGAACATTCACAGAAGTTAACAGGTCATAAAAATTTAACAGTTGATGAAAAATTAGTAAAAGTAAATTAAGTAAAAATAATCACTGTGAAAAGTGTGTAGAGTTAGCAGTTAAATGAAAGATTAATAGAGTTATATATTTAACAGAGATAATTAAGCAAAGAGTACTTACTACAGAAAACTTACAGAGTTAGTGATTGAATAAAAAATTAATAGAGTTAAATAATTAACAAAGTGAAGTTATCACAGAACTATTAAATAAGATAATTTAAAATAGAATAAATAATAGTATGTAATAAAAGAATATAGTAATGATTAAAGTAAATTTGTATATATAAAAAAAATATAATCTGATAAAAAAGTTTTTTAAGTAGTTAATTATATTATAAAAAGTGAGCTGTTACATAACTTCTTTATAAAAGTTTATAATCACTGATTACATGAATCAGCAGCTGTAATAAGTGTATGAGTGAAAATAGTTAACTTATAAAAGAAACAATCTGATACTGTTTAAAAAGAAAGAATATAAAAAGTCTTTATTAAAAATCTTTTTAATCAGTATAAAAAAACTTAATTGTAATTATTTCAGTAATTAAATAATTTATACAGTTATCTGATAATATTTCAATATGAGAAATCAAAGCATGTAAGTTTAACACTTATAAAAAATGTATTAAATTCAGAACTCAAGTATTTCAAGTTTTTCATAAATTTAGAAGTATATAAATTACATTAATAAATTACTCTATATTTATAAAATAGAAAGTATTATTATATGTATCTGATTATCACTTCTTTG